CCGCTAGCCGGCCCACCGGCGCGCCCCACCCGCGACTCCCCCCGGCGTGTGCCGGGACAGCCCCGCGACCGGCAGCCAGCCCGCCGCAGGGCGCCTCGCCTCAGCCGCGACCCGAGCCCCGCCGGCCCCCGGCCTCAAAGCCATCCCTCCCGTCCCGTCCCGGGTCTCCCCCGCCGCCCCACGGATCCGTTTTGTACCCGTCCCGGCGGGTTTTCCCCCTCCCCCTGTTAGCGTGCTCCATCCCAGCCCTCCGCCCCGGCCCTTTTTGGCTCTCTGGTCACCCAGCAGCGAGCGAGCAAGCTTGACGTTTTAAAATAGCCCTTCCCGGGAGGAGGGTGGGGGAAGCTACTGGGGATTGCATTTCGCACTGCTGGCGCCCTTCCCAACCGGAGGAGAAGGGTTGGCAGACAAAAAAACGGTGCCTGTGGGTCTGTCTGCGGGCCCGCCTGCGCGCATGCACGATGCCGTGTTGTCCCAGCAAAGATAAGGGCAGACAACTCTCTTCCTTCTCTTATTTGTTGCCTTTTTCCTCCCCCATGTCTTCCTTGGTCAGAGTTTGCCCTGGCCGTGCTCCGTCCTTCTCCTCCGTTTGACAGGCTCCGAGAAGGAGGGTGAGGAATTTCCTTTGCCCGTGTGCGCGCAGCTCTGAGCGGCTCAGCCCAAGCAACTTTATACCTGTGGGACGTGTCTAGACAGGCCTTCAAAAAACAGAGCACCTCTTGATATGAAAAACAGAGCTTTTAGTACTCTAGGAAAATAAAGGTGTCATTGGCTCAGGTGACAGCACTCGCTCCTCTGCAGAGAAAGGTATAGCACTCAGGAAAGGGTTGTGAAACTTACAATGACGTGTAAGGGCTTACACAAAGAAAGGAAAAGATTCATCATTAGAGGAAAAGATTCATCATTAGTGTGAAATGTGTTCACCTGATTCGTGTTAATATCTTTGTGGGAAATAAGCTAAGTTTTGCTTCAGCTTATTGATGTATCATTGTTAGTGTGATAGTACTAACAAAGGAGCCTTAGTAATAGTAGAGTCTAATAAATTGTATCCAATTAATCCCCAGAAATGCCCTTGGTCTGTCAAGGGATCCTTGTTTGCAAAGCGTTATCTAGGTGAAAAGAAACAGACTAGAACATGGCCTTCAACACAAGAAACCAGAGGGTAAGGGAGTATCAATAAAGCCAAAGAAACCAGTCTGGTAAATCTGCCAAGTAGATGGTAGCAAAGACTGTGAAATAACGTGTAGCATAATCAACTAATCAAAGGCGTGTTTAGGATAATGATTTCGTAGAATAGGTGTATGTGTGCCTTATATGGGAAAAAGTGCAAGCGGTCGGGAAGAATGTGAGCTCCAACTTCTCAGCCAATGAGAAGAGAGACAGAAACTCAAGCGGCCTGCATCAAGGAGTGGGCCAGAAGGAGGGGTAGGTGCCCGCTCTGCAGGAAGCATTTCAACCTGGTCCTGCACTCAGTGCAAGCAGATGACCGCTACGAAGAGTATGTGGTCCCCTCATCCAGCCGCCGCCTGAGGGATGTGAGCAGAGAGAGGGTCCGGAGCAGATCCCCGCTGCGGCATGGCAACCCACACAGCTGGGCCACTGATGATGCCACCTCCACTGGCAGAAGGTGGTCTTTGGGGAGCCCCCGGGCACAGAGGCAGGGTGCAGCTCCAGGGCCCTCCTCCCAGCAGGCTCCCACACCCAGCACTTCTCTGGAGCAAGCCTCACAGAGAGCAGAGGAATACCTGCCTGACCCCTTGGCTGCAGCGTACCAGCGCATCCGCAGAGCAGTGCGACGAGCTTGGCATCTTGCGCGTTGTTACATCCAATAAACATCCAGCTGTGCTTTCCCGGCACTGGTTTATTCCCAAATGCTCCCAATTTTGCTATTATTCCCAAGAGCAAATTGCTACCCACTGTGGGGAATGCTTTCCAACAGCGTCTCAGCAGTGCTGGAAAGCCCAGGGGAGAACTGACCTCTGCATCGCCTGGCTGCCATGGACACAGGCCATACTGATAGCCCCAATCCCAATGGGTTCTCCAGCTGGTGCCTCCACACCTAGATGCCTCCAGTCTTTCTCCACTCACACCAGTCTCAGCCTTTCCCTCTCATTCCTCTACAACAGCAGCCCGACTCCTCCAGCCCAAGGCCCCCTGGCAGGCATGCAAGCCTCGCCTCTGCTCTTCTGCAACATCCACCCCAGGAGAACAAGGCCCTCTTGCCGATGCACACACCTTGGCTCAATCTCTGTCAGGAGAGCAAAACTCGGGACCCCAAGTCTCCTGGGTTTCCAGGGGCAGCCCAGAAGCAGACTGCCGTGCAAGCACAGCACAGTCTGGCCACCAGCTGAAGTACTGAAGGAATCGGCGTTCGGGAGCAGAGCCTGAGCGTCTGTGTTGAAGGGAAAGACTGGACAGCCCCTTTCCAAAAAGAAACCACTGGCAAATTCCTGGTAAATAGCTTTGGCTGATCATACCCTCACCAGAAGTTGCACACATGTGCGGAGGCACTGAGGAGCCCTGAGCAAAAATGTTTCTGTACTTTTAAGAAAGGATGGATCCACAGACTCTCCAAACTGGAGTCTCCCTGCTAAGCCATTGGCAAGGGATGTAAGCCCCCAGGCACTGAGACAGAGGGGAACTGGAAGCACGGAGAGGCAAGGCATGGTTCTCCTCAGACTGTGTGCACAAGGCTGCCCAAGACATGGATAGTTGATCTGCTAACCTGGCCACTCCTGGTGACCAGGTCTGGAGCGAGCTGTCCCTGTGCTTTGGTCTACTCCAACAACAGCCCAGCTTCCCCTCCCTTTCTGAGCCAGGCACGTGGTGCCGCAGCTCTGCGCTAAAGGGCCCTGTGGGACAGCTATTGCACTGCAAAGCAGTGACAGTAAACATAAATGTACTATATTGTTAGACCAGGAATGCTGAGTCCTGCTTCAGAAAAAAACAAACAAAAAAAACCACATGAAGACAGAGGTCTATGTATTTTGCAGGACTACATTCAGGACAAGAGACCCAAGGTTTCTGAAATGTGGAAATATGAAAACTCAAAACCATCAAGGAACAAAACCAGGAATCTGGCTTTGTCGTTAACCACTGAAATATCCTTTGAATACCTTAGCAGTTGCTTTGCAGGCTGAATCAGTGACATGGTAGTAATGATATTTAACTGCAACATGTGTGTGGTGTCAATACAGGATTATAGTTAAGAATTCTGGGCAGAAGGTTCTGTCAGGACCTTGGCCCTTGCTGTCTGCCTTAAGCATAACTTGAAGCCATCATCAAAGGGCCCCTTTTAAATCTTCATTCTTGATCATTTGGCTCAGAAAACCCTTCCTGAATTCATGCCTCTCCAAAAAAAAAAGCGTGAAACCCTACATTAGCACTCTTTCTGTCTTCCCATCCCTCTTTTTTTTGGAGTCGGTGGGAAGGGAAGCAAAGCAATTCTAGCAGACAGTTCCAACTAGATGATGTGTGGCGTATGAAGAAATCACGGACTCGTAGGTCATGCAGCAAGCGAATCCAAAAATCCAATTCGACCATCTTTATTGCTACACAGAGAGACTTTTATACACTAAGACAGAAACCTACACCCCCCATAATGCCCAATCATGGACTTACAAAAATATTTTTTTACCTTCTACTGAGCTTATCACAATAACAATTATTCTACTATCAAGACAGGTTTCGGTTCCCAGACTGTGCTCTGTTTTTTGTCAGGATGTGCTTCAGGATGCAAAACTTGTATGTCTCACTCCTCCCCTGCTCTCAAGGTCGCTACTGGCACACATTGTTGCTCCAGATGCAAGTAAATCTTAACTATGTGAGCGACCTTTCACTGAGCCCACATCTCCCCCTTTTTTATTAGTTAGAATAGAAATCAAAACAAGGGTCATCACAACCTGGCACTGAATACCACACGTCTAATTAATTGAACCTAGGAACCCAAAAAGAAAGAAAATTAAACAAAAGAATGAAGCAGCTTCAAGTGTCTGTAATCACGTACTAACCACTCAAGAACACACTTAACCCCTTTTTTGTATTTTCAACTTCATCCTTAGGAAGTCTCACTAAATACCCTATACCATCTTTCCCTTGCCATTTATACATAAACTTAACAGGTATGCATAATTCTGGTTATTTTCTGAAAGAATAATAGTCATCTAACTTCCTAATGCTAAATCAACATGTGTAATACAATTCTTAAAGAAAAGGATTGTGCTTCTAATGAATACAAACTATCATTAAAGGTTACATTAGGATTACAAACTAATGCAAATACATATAAGTGAGTAGTACACACAGTTATGTTAGCACAATGCAAAATCCATCAGGTTAATTAAGGTAAGATTTTTCTGCATATACAGCTGATATACAGTTCATGTTAACCTGGCAAAACTAATCTCATTAGATCTGTTTTGATGCTAGAATGATTGTCCTTAGAATCCAAGGAATTTAGGAATTTTGTCTTTGAGGATATAACCTCAGACATGGTCTCTGAGCCAATTGTTGCAAATCTTACAATTTTTTGCAAGTTGCATGCTGGAAATATAGGACGAATATGGGATAATACCCTCCTTGTCGGTATTGCTTGAACTTGGTAAAGTGACCACAGTGTAATTAGTTTTGCCATTTAGCTTCAATCCAACGAGATATAACTAAGCAGTAAAATTAATATGAGATTGATTCTCAGGCCTAGTAACATTGGTCCATGTGACACGCATGTAAGTCACTACAAAATATCTGGCTATCCTTACAGGAATTGTTAAGATCATCACAAGATGGTAATAATAAAACTCCTCTCATCCATCTCGTATCATTATTACTTAAGGTGATGTTCGATCCCACCATATGAGAGGCCTAAACACAGGCAAGACATACATATGAAAATGCAAGACACATTCAACATGATTAAACCTGAGGAAGATTAGAATCTTCCTACTTGTCTTTGTCTTGAGAGACATCTTCGACAGACTCTGCATCTTTCTGTATAGTATTGGCAGGCTTGATATTTTTCGCAGGTAACCAGTATGGTCCTGTGGGTAAAGAAACACAACCATAACCACGTCCCCATGACAACAAGGGTACTGGACCCATCCATTGTCCTGACTGTAAGTCTTTATCAAATACAGTAGGCTTCATATTTGTCTGATCTGGCAAACCATATCGCCGTTGATTAGCAGTCAAATTGTCAGCACGCGTAAGATTCAAAAAGTTCAAAACATAAGTGGCTTTATCTAATTGTTCCTGAGGTGTGATACCCAGGGGATTCCCCCTTTTTTGTTTAAAACTCATCAGGTGCAGCAATTAAAATATCATCCATGTAATGATAAAACAACAGAGTAGGAAATTGTGTTTTCACTGGTTTCAAAGCAGAATAAACAACAAATTGACAAATAGTTGGACTATTTTTCATGCCTTGAGGAAGCACTACCCAATGATATCTCTCCATAGGCCCTTCATTGTTAATAGAAGGTACAGAAAAAGCAAAATGTGGACAATCATCAGGATGCAGAAAAATTGTAAAGAAACAATCCTTTAAATCAATGACAAGCAGATTCCAAGAGTGTGGTATCATTGCAGGATTCGGCATTCCTGATTGCAGTGCACCCATTGGAGCTATAACATCATTAACTGCCCATAAATCCTGCAATAATCTCCATTTGCCTGATTTCTTAGGTATTACAAAAATTGGAGTATTCCATGGGCTTGTAGAAGGGACAATATGTCCTAACTGCAATTGTTCTGCAACCAGCTCTCGTGCTCGCTCCAGCCGCTCACCTCTGAGGGGCCACTGATCAACCCAACCAGGGGAATTAGTTAACCATGTAAGTTTGAGCCGTGGCTGGACATCAGCGACCCCAATCAAAAATGTGTTGTTAAAAGCAAACCCCATTGTGAAATCAAGTCACAGCCCCATAATGTACAGGGTACTGGTAAAATGTATGGTTTCAATTTAGCTATTTTCCCATCCGGTCCTTCAACCAGCAGAGTTTGTAACGATTGTTGAGGAAGCTGAGTTCCTCCAACCCCAGTAATTAAAGCAGCTGTGTCCACAACAGGCCACTCAGACGGCCAGTCAGACTTACGGATGATAGAAATGTCTGCTCCAGTGTCTATCAACTCTGAAAATTCTTTACCATTACGCCGACAAGTAAGAAAGGGTTGTTGAGTTGTGATTTGCTGAGTCCAATAAATCTGTGGAGATCCTGTACTCCCGAAACCTCCTGCTCCACGGACTGGTGCCGCTGCAGCAGTATCGTCTGTTAAAGGAGACAAAACTAGGGAGAGGTATTAGTTGAGCAATACGTTCACCTGCTGGTATGGTACAGGGAGGATTCGGAGTCCATACCATGATTTTAATTTCTCCCCGATAGTCACTATCAATAATCCCAGGTAAAACAAACAAACCCATCTTTGTAGCAGCAGACCGGCCCAGTAACAAAGCATGTCCATTAAAAGGCAGTGGCCCTTGCAGTCCTGTCGGTATCAGGTGCACAGAATTTACATTAGTTGTGGCGGCAGTTGCCACGTCCAGCCCGGCACTCCCGGGGGTGGCACGGCGGGGGATGATGCCTGCATTGCTTGTCCATTCCCCTGCTGGGGTGCTAATTGCAGCATCTGCCCTTGGGCCCTGTTGGGATTGCGTGGGGCACCGGACCACGCGCCCCTCTTGGCGTTTCTCGACCGCGGAGTGGGTAAAAGATTACCATTTTTATCATATTTAGAATGACATTGATTGCTCCAGTGATATCCTTTCTGACACCGAGGACATAACTCATTCGGAGTTTTATCCCTCTCTCGCTTTTTTTTTGGGCAATCCTTTCTCATGTGTCCGTCCTGCCCACACGAAAAGCATTTAACAGAAGCACGAGCTACAGTTAGGTTTTGAGCCAGTGCTGTTGCTAACATCTCAAATTTGTGGTCTTCTGTTTCTACATGCTGGCACGCTCTAATAAGATCATTCAGAGTGGTAGCCTTGCCACGTATAGGGTCTAAAGCCCTGCGGCATTGAGTGTTAGCATTTTCCACTGCTAATTGCATTAACAAAAGTTCAGCAGCTTCTGGAAGTTCGATTTGTTGAGAAATAGCTGTCTGCAAACGGTCTATGAAGTCTATGTAAGGCTCTTGTGCTCCCTGGCGGATACTCGCAAATGACCGCTCTGTACGTTGACCATCGGGAACTCGCTTTAAAGCCTGTAAGGCCAGCGTAGATGCTTGCTGGAAAGCTAATCTATCCATTTGAACTTGCGCTGCTGGACTTGCGTATTGCCCTTCTCCCATCAAGTGATCAGCCCTGATAGCATGCCCAGCTGTCAAATTTTCTAATGCTTGGGCAGCAACCAACTCACGATATTCTGTTAACCAGATAGAATATTGTCCTGCTGTTAACATCAACTTTAACACCATTTTCCAATTTGCAGGAACCATAGTATATGACTCCGATATCGCTTCCAGCAAACTAATAGTAAAGGAGGATTGTAAACCATTTTCCTTAACGGATTTTCTTAACTCTTTGATAGCTTCGTACGTCAGCGTCTCATAGTGAGGAAGCTGCTGGGGTCTATAGATAGCAGGCATAGCTTGAAACATTTCCATATCACCATCTTGCAAAGCCCCTTTTCTACACTCTTCCACGAGCTCCCGTCTTGCCTTATCATGAGAATTATTAGGAGGCACATCCAGAGAAGGAGCATAAGGTGGCGGACACGTAATGGAGGCACGACTAGCAGTCAGTCGTTTAGTTCTTTGTAAAATCTGATCTGCGGTTGGCGCAGAAGCTACCATAGCTTTAACCGGAGTTAAGGACGGGTATAAATCAAGCTCTTGATCAGAGTCAATAGGATCTGGATCAAAGAGATCCTCAGGTATCTGTGAGTCTAAGTCATTGGCTGCTCCTCCCGTAGCAGCTAACGGCAGCTGCGGTTGCTGAGCTGACTCACAGACAGGCTCAGCGTTAGGGTCTGAACTAGCAGGAGCTGTGTCCTCCAATAAATCAGCCGGTGGAGGCGGAAAATCCGAGTTAACAAACACTTTATCGGTAGGGAGGAATGTTCTTAATGCCGTATATATGACACGCCATGTTATAATATTATCGGGATCAACATCACGATCAACAATTAGTCGCGCTTGCAAGCATTCTCCCACTTTCTGCCATTCAGAGAGATCGTAAGACCCGTTGGGGGGGTACCACGGACAATTATCCCGAATCCATACTAAAAGCTGTACAAGTTTAACAGACTGTAACTTTAATCCTTGTTCCTTAACGATTTTCATTAAAAGTGCTTTATGTATCTGCTGCGCTTTCGTCGCAGACTGCCCCATTTTAATAATACCTTCCCCGGCCCCTCGCTGTGCTAACCTTGTATTGTGCAGCGATGAGTATATAGGAGCTCCTTGGTGATCGACGTCTTCCGTCCGGCTCGCGGGGGCACGCCACCGATCCTTGATCACCGTCCTGCTGAATCTTTAACCCGATTCGGGAGCCATTTGTGGTGTATGAAGAAATCACGGACTCGTAGGTCATGCAGCAAGCGAATCCAAAAATCCAATTCGACCATCTTTATTGCTACACAGAGAGACTTTTATACACTAAGACAGAAACCTACACCCCCCATAATGCCCAATCATGGACTTACAAAAATATTTTTTCTACCTTCTACTGAGCTTATCACAATAACAATTATTCTACTATCAAGACAGGTTTCAGTTCCCAGGCTGTGCTCTGTTTTTTGTCAGGATGTGCTTCAGGATGCAAAACTTGTATGTCTCACTCCTCCCCTGCTCTCAAGGTCGCTACTGGCACACATTGTTGCTCCAGATGCAAGTAAATCTTAACTATGTGAGCGACCTTTCACTGAGCCCACAATGATGTAGTGCTTTCAAAATCAAATCTTACTAGCCACCCAGACTAGAGACCCTCAGATCAGCATACCTATGATGAACTTAACAAAGTCCCTGCCAACAGGGAAGTAAACCAAATAGACATTTACTTTATGGAATGTCTGAGTATAAGATTTAAAACTCCTTTATAGCCATCAAGGACTCAGGGTCAAGCGTTGATATTGACCAGAGGAATTACAGACTTTTCCCATATTCACGCCAGGACACAGAGGGAACCAGCTTGCTTCTTCTGAGGAGAAAGTCTGGGAGTCCTGGTAGATAGCACACTTTCCATGCACCAGCAATGTGCCCTTGTCGCCAGGAGGGCCAATGGAATCCTGGGCTGCCTAGGGAAGAGGGTGGCCAGTAGGTCAAAGGAGGTCATTCTTCCCCTCTACTCTGCACTGGTGAGGCCACAACTGGAATACTGTGTCCAGTTCTGGGCTCCCCAGTTCAAGAGGGACAAGTAGTTACTGGAGAGAGTCCGGTGTAGGGCAACTAAAATGATTAAGGGATTGGAGCACCTCCCTTACGAGGAAAGGCTCAAAGTGCTGGGGCACTTTAGCCTGGAGAAGAGAAGGCTGAGGGGAGACCTCATTTATGTTTACAAGTATCTAAAGGGTGTGTTGAAGGAGGATGGAGCTGGACTCTTCAGTGGTTTCCAGCGATAGGATAAGGGGCAACGGGCAGAAGCTGGAACATGGGAAGTTCCATTCAAATACGAGGAAAAACTTCTTTATGGTGAGGGTGACAGAGCCCTGGAACAGGCTGCCCAGGGAGGTCATAGAGTCTCCCTGGAGATTTTCTGGAGATTTTCAAGTCCTGAGTAATGTGCTCTGGGCAATCCTGCTTTGGCAGGGGAGTTGGACTAGATGATCTCTAGAGGTCCCTTCCAACTCTGACAGTTCCATGATTCCGTGATATTAATATTTCTAATAGCATTTTATATTATAATTAGAATTATTATCATTGTTAAAATTTGTTTAATTATTAGATACCTAATAAATACCTGATTTAACCTCAGCAGAATTGTGTTGTGATGTGTATGCTTGATGGGAGGATTATAAAGAACCATGGCACTGAATTGGTGTAGTCAGTAGGATCCCTCCAGCTTAGCACTGTAGCTTACCAGTAGGAGTGTTTAGGCTGGCTCATGAGGTGAAATAATACTAGTGACCCATAAGACCAGTATTACTGGGACTACTGCCGTGAGGTAAATGTGTGGAGTATGTGGAAAGATTTAAGGCAAAAGTTTCTAACGGAGCGATATGGTAACTTGTGGTAGGGTTTCTGAATGCGTAGAGGAAAAATCCACATAGGTCATGAAGACCTATACCCTTGCTCGATTTCCACGGCAGGGTTTGAGGAGATGGGGCAAGAATGGCTCTGGATGCAGTGGAATCTGAGACAGCCTGCAGGGCTACTACCTGCCTCTAGAGGCTACCATGGCCTCCACATTATGGACATGTGTCACACTTGGCCACACTTGGCTCTTCCATGTGATTTCCCCCCACCCAGGATCCCTCTGCCACTCAGTTCATTGGCATTAGTGGATAATTGTTCAGTTCTTTTCTTTTGTCCTGGTATCCAGTATATGGTCCTCTCCTTTATCCCAGTCACAAGTAATACAGAAATATGCATTTATTTACTTTTCATAATTTCCACAGAATCTTCAGTGTACTCAGATAATCGCTTTCATAATCTCTGGAAATGTAAAGAGAAGCATATGTAGAAATTCAGTGTTCCCTGATCAAGCAGCTATGCCTTACTTCTGAGTGGCTCTACAAACGTTAGGCAACAGACTGTCAGAGAACTTTGCAGTGTGGTTGACACACTAAGCTAAGTATTGAGATGAAGTTCACCTGTTGCTTTCTTTGGTGTAGAAGTGAAAGAAAATAATTCAAGATTGCTTCTCTTCCCTCTCGCCTCGCCTCCTTTCCCCTCCCCACTCCTATCCCATCAGTTGCTCTAAAATATCAGAAGTTTAACGAAATTAAAGGAATGAGAAAGATCAGGCGATGAACTGGAACGTAGTAAATTCTTCAAGATGTGAAACCTGTGACTTCAGAGACTTTGCCATACAGCTTCACTCTATCTCCACCTTGCTGCTAGTCAGGTTATTGCATTGCTGGATTGTTAACTTTCTTAAATGTTCCTCTTTTCTATGTGAATTAACATCTGCATATTGGTGTGCTCCGTCATTGCTTACCTGCAACTACTGTCTGTAGTAAGATTGTGTTGACTCCTGAGGTAATTCTTGCAAAGAGGATTCAGAAGGAGAAATGCAAACTGTGTGGATGCAGGGGTTTTTCCTTAGTCAAATTAGGGGTTTTTTCCAGAAGTCCATGATGATACATCTTTGATTCAGGCATGTTTCAGCACTATTTTGTGCATGCTTTGAGTTTTTTGTGGCTTCAAAAAATAGTAATTCTTTTTATGAGCAGTCTTGTTCTATCTGAAACATGGTTCACCCCCATTAGAGACTGAGGTACCCTTGGAGGTATGCTGGCAGTATGGGACGTGCACCCACGCGCTCACCACCAGTTGGGAGAGCAGCATAGGCAGGATATATCCTTAACCAGGCATTAGCTGCATCCAGTTAAAGATTCACAGTCTTTCTAGAGATCCTCATCATACAACTCATTTACTTGGGCTAGCAAGACATATTAACAAATGATAAATAAGCTAATCTCACTATAGCAGCGGACTTCAGAGGCCTCTGCTCTCTCTAAGGTAGAAAAGTGTGTAGGGAAAAGCAGAGGTCCACCTACGTTTCAAGACAGTGGAAAGCTTTCTTAATTGTATTCTGTTTTTATTAATGGACGTATCATTTTGCAGACAAAACTGAGACTTCTTTTTAGAATTGTCCTTATTTTTTTCTTTCTAGATTTTTAATATTAAAAAGAAAACTAAGTATGTCTGATATGACACTATTACAGGAAAGCCAAAAAATAAGTTACTGTATTTTAGTTTGACAAGTTTAGTATAATGCTCGTGTCATCATTAAAGAGCTAAAAAAACTGGTACAGCCTCATAGCCACCTCAAACACTTAATTTCCCATAACCAGTTGGATCAGGGACTAGTCACTCAAGTGATATGTTTAGGCTGCCTTAGAAGGTTCACATGCCAAGTTAGGAGACATCACAGCAGGTAGTGTTGATTTATTTTTCAGAAATCTCAGTGTGTAAAGTATTCCCACGTTCCACAAAACTGTTCAAGAAAAAGGAAGAGAGGCTTGGTCAGTGGGAGCTAAATTATACAGTGGTTACTTGTGGTAAGAGAGTGTTTTATTTCCTAATGGACAAACCCATGGCACTTTATCCCATCCAAGAGTTTTGCAGAAGTTTCATGTGTGTATTATGACGAACTATAGCTGATATAAAAGGTAATTCCTTAATGTCTAGGCTGCACCTCAAGACCTCAAAAACATTATTTTACTCTCTGTTAGAATGTATATATTGCAGTAATTGAGGAAAACAAGGTGTAGCTTGTCTTAGATTATATAGGTGTTGGTCTAGAATCACTGTGGATGCTTGTAAAACTTCAAGATAAAATTAAATATATTGCAGTAAAATAACTTGTTCTCTGCAAAAGACAATTGAAAGATTATGATCTGTTCTTTTTAAACTGATGATGTGGGAGGAATTTCTAAAAAGCCTTTAGTTGACTTGGTCGCAAATTTAGTTTAGAGGATTATGGAAAGGGATATCTTGCCCTTGGTTTCTTGATTCACAGTAACATCTGTTGAAAATGAAGGTCCCTTCTACCGCCTACAATAGGTAGTAATGTGCTCTGACAGGAGCAGATCTAGAAAGACCTGATCTGGGAGACCTGGTGCTAATTGAAGCATTTCAGGGATGTTACTCTGGGCTAGCCCTGGTCTGTCCCCATGGACCAAATGCCTATTAGCAGTTGTAGTGTACCTTCGTATGATTTAGTTTCATCTGACAGGATATCTGCGATTGCCACTGAGATGCACTCTGAGATACTGCCATGACACCACTGATTACGAGATTTACTTGGAAAACACACTGATGTAGGTGAAGTTTGTGTTTTCTCTCTTGAAAATTTGATCTAATCCTAAAGACCTACCAAGAATGCACGCAGGACTTTGCTGTAGAACATTTAACATAAAAATTCTAGATAAGTATTTCTAGGACTTCCAGAAAAGACATTTTTTTCTCCTGTATCTGTTTGCTTGCAGGGAGGAGGCAAATTACAATGGGATCATGTAAAGAGATGTTAATTTTCTATGTGTGGTTTCATATTGTTTCAGAATTCTGCCCTCCAAGAAAAATATGGTGAATTGTGTCACAGTTCTTTTGCATCCTCCAGTTAAGTACACAGACCACCGCACTCTTCTGGTGTTGCAAGAATTGAACGATTACCCTCTGTTGCTGTTACACTGCATTGACATTCATGCACAATGTTACTCCTGCGGTGGCAGCTACACACAGACATCCAGCAGCAACGGTATCCCATGTATGCTTTCCCACAACGTCTGGATGTAACCGACAGGAATCTAGAAAGATGTTTCTCTGGGGTCCTGTCCATTCATTTTGTCCCCGCTCTTGGCACGTTCAAAAATCCAGGACAAACGTCCTTTGATCAGCCAATGAGCTAAACTCTGAAGAGACTAAAAG